CCCCCATTCCATTGAAATGGAAAATCAAGAGACGAAAAACCAAATGCATTGGAAGTTTGGAATCGAGATTGATTGGGCGAGCCACGATGCATATCCAAATTAGCCGATTCCGTTGAAAATCCCGGTGGTGGATTTATTGTTGTTGCGGGCATAACGTTTGGTTTATTTTGTAAATAACTTGGTATGTTCGAAAAGTTCTGAATATTGGTACCCGAATTACCGAACAATCCGAATTTGGAAACACCACCGTCAGAACCTGGGAAAGCAAAAAGAGATGCACTTGACGTTGAGGTTACAGGTGAAGTGGGTTTGATTTCACTCGATGTACGTTTCGTTGGAGGAACGAGAGGATCTAATGAAGCATTAGGAACGCCCGAAACTGGAGTGGAAAGAGAGAATGGCGGAGATGAGGCAAAAGAATCATTGGAGATGGAATTTGAAATACTATTTGTGTTATTGGTCAGGGGCCTAGTTGAGGCATATAGGAATTCTAATTTTTGAGATGCAGACGTTTCATTGTTTTCATTATTGTTGGGAAATAGTTGAGGTGTGTTAAAATGATTCCAGTAAATTGACAGATCATTTTGATTTCCCTTTGGAGATTTCTGATTAGATGCCAAGACTTGATTCAATAGAACCTCGGCAGTGGTCGGATTGGTCGAAACAGTAGGGGAGCGATTAGAAGATTTCTCTGAAACCTGACCGTTGCTAAATATACAAAAGAGAACAGCTTAATAGGGTCACATTAACTTTTATCCTGATTCTTTTGTACAAACCTGTTATTATCACTCTCGGCAACCGAAAGATGTCGTCCCGTGAACAAAATCACTTCTCCTTCGGCGTCTTCGTCTTCAGGAGAAGAATTGACCGTCTCTTTAGGACTGCTAGACGCGAACGATTGCGATTCGACCAAGTTCGTGTCATCTCGTTCATTGATCATATCGGGGGTTGTATCCGTAACAGTTGCCCTATCTTCTAAATATGAATCATCAGTGATATCTGAAGTAGTTGAAGTAGCCGGAGAAAGTGGCTTGCTAGATGGCGTATTCGAGCTGAAGATTCCGTCAACATAGTATAGCCGAGAATTCTACGGTGTTGAGGTTTTAGTAACGATTGTGTATTAGAGAATCGAAACATTCTTTACGAACCTGGGATTCAGCAATTTTGCGAGCATCTTCGAATATATCATATATACGCATGT